ACCAAATGACCACCAATCACATTTCCACCAAATGACTACCAATCACATTCCCACCAAATAACTACAAATCACATTTCCACCAAATAACAACCAATCACATTTCCACCAAATAACTACCAATCACAATTCCACCAAATGACTACCAGCCAATCACATTTCCACCAAATGACTACCATTCACATTTCCACAAGTAACATACACAATAAATTCCTCCAAATGACTACCAATCACATTTCCACCAAATAACTACCAATCACATTTCTACCAAATAACTACCAATCACATTTCCACCAAATGACTACCAATCACATTTCCACCAAATGACTGCCAATCCCATTCCCACCAAATAACTACCAATCACATTTTACCCCAAATGACTACAATCACATTTCCACCAAATAACTACCAATCACATTTCCACCAAATAACTACCAATCACATTTCTACCAAATAACTACCAATCACATTTCCACCAAATGACTACCAATCACATTTCCACCAAATGACTGCCAATCCCATCCCACCAAATAACTACCAATCACATTTTACCCCAAATGACTACAATCACATTTCCACCAAATGACTACCAATCACATTTCCACTGAATGACTACCAATCACATTTCCACCAAATGACTACCAATCACATTTCCACCAAATGACCACCAATCACATTTCCACCAAATGACTACAATCACATTTCCACCAAATGACTACCAATCACATTTCCACCAAATAACTACCAATCACTTTTCCACCAAATAACTACCAATCACATTTCCACCAAATGACTGCCAATCCCATCCCACCAAATAACTACCAATCACATTTTACCCCAAATGACTACAATCACATTTCCACCAAATGACTACCAATCACATTTCCACTGAATGACTACCAATCACATTTCCACCAAAAAACTACCAATCACATTTCTACCAAATAACTACCAATCACATTTCTACCAAATAACTACCAATCACATTTCTACCAAATAACTACCAATCACATTTCCACCAAATAACTACCAATCACATTTCCACCAAATGACTACCAATCACATTCCATCAAATGACTACCAATCACATTTCCATCAAATGACTACAATCACATTTCCACCAAATGACTACCAATCACATTTCCACTGAATGACTACCAATAACATTTCCACCAAATGACTACCAATCACATTTCCACCAAATGACTACCAATCACATTTCCACCAAATGACTACCAATCACATTTCCACCAAATGACTACCAATCACATTTCCACCAAATGACTACCAATCACATTCCCACTAAATGACCACCAATTACATTTCCACCAAATGACTACCAATCACATTTCTACCAAATGACTACCAATCACATTTCTACCAAATAACTAGCAATCACATTTCCACCAAATAACTACCAATCACTTTTCCACCAAATAACTACCAAACACATTTCCACCAAATAACTACCAATCACATTTCCACCAAATGACCACCAATCACATTTCCACCAAATGACTACAATCACATTTCCATCAAATGACCACCAATCACATTTCC